TTAGTGGCCCAGATTTTACAGCAGGAATTGGAGAGGTTGTCCTGATTGTGAGCTTGAGGACCCACGGCCAGGACGTGCAGAGCAAACCCTGGCATTTCAGCGCTCTGCTGCTCTCTGCCCCAGCCCAAGGAGCTAAAAAAACAAACAAACAAACAAACAAACAAAGAGAAATGACACAATTAAAACAGGTTCTCTTTTCCCGTTACCAGCAGACACTCATGGGACAACATAAGCTCCGTTCCGTTCAGTGCTGGGGACTAGGGAAGAACTCTGCGGGTTTGTGCCAGGGCTGCAGGTGCCTGCTGCACACTGTGCATCTGTAGCACAGAAGTAAACAGCAGTGTCTGCAGCCTGGGCAGCAGTGATGGACAGGGAACTGCTCTGGGTAGAGGTGTTAAAGGTCGCTCTTAGTCTTGCACTGCGTTTCTCTTTCTCATTTGAACGCAGTAGGATTAGCATGACAGGGCCTCTGCCTGAGTCCTGTCTGTACCACTGTAGAGTAGATGAATAAGTTTTGTAGCTGCAGTTCATGGTGACCTCTTCACCTTCCTGGATGCTCAGAGTCAGAGGATTTTCTTCTCCCTGTTGACTGTTCACCCCTACAGAGAAGCACAGGTTAGAAAACAAGAGTCAATAATTATGTTTTCAAATTGCGTTTCCAGATGAACACTTCTCATTCACATGACCTCTGAACTTAGGTCTCCCCATTCCCATCACTATCAGCCCCAACTTACTGGCCAGTTGAAGCCATAGTGTCATCAAAGACACTTCCAGAAATTTGTTCATTCTTTCTTTGTTGATGTCAGAGGAAACGCTGTGCTGTACCCTGGAGTGGAGCCCGGTTCCTAAGACAGAGGAGTCAGTTCTGATATATTTAATCTTTGGTTCTTAGAGTCTCAGGATTTGCTTAGCCAGTTAGAGACAGGCTTGGTTCACCACAAACCCTCAACCCAACCCCCCACCCTTCTGACAGAGAGGCACTGCCACCTGGTGGTGGCCACAGCGCACTGCCACTAGAACGTGTTCTGGGATGGAGAGTGTGCAGATTGCAGTAATTGTAGGCCTGCTTTATTCGCTCTCTCTTTTTTCCTGCACACAGTGAGAAGACACACAGATTAACTCCAGTAAGAGGTCAGTGGAGAAGAATTTACAGAATACTTCTGAAAAGTCTTGCTAGGGTTCCTAAGTAACTACAACTCCTGAAAATGTACTTGTGAGGGAAGAGAGATGGTTCACTGGGTAAAGTGTTTGCCATGGAAGTCTGATGGCCTCAGTTTGTTCCCCAGAACCCACAGTGGGGAACTCCAGCTATAGGAGGTCGTCCTCTTGCATGAGTGTATTTCCACACCAATGATAAGTAGGATACACAAAGTAAAATGTGTCTGTGAGGTTCATAGCTTTAAAAAAATAGTTTTTCCCAATGCTTGAATGATATCATGTATATATAAAGGGTTTCACTGGTGTGCAAAAGAAATAGACCTCTTTTAGATTAAGTAGAAATGAATAAATTAAATTAATAATAGGTTAGATTCAAAATCCAAAATAGGGTCTGTTGGAGGGAGGGCTGCTTGTTCTTCCCACCACCCAGATAGCATAGACCCAAAATAATCACACAGAAGCTGTATTAATTAAATCACTGATTGACCCATTAGCTCTATCTTTTTATTGACTAACTCTTACATATTAATTTAACCCATTTCTATTAATCTGTATATCACCATGAGGTCATGGCCTACCAGCAAAGTTTCAGCACGTCTATCTCCAGCAGCAACTCCATGGCATCTCCCCGACTCCACCTTCCTCCTCCCATGCTATAGGCCAAGCCAGTTCTTTGTTCATTAAACAATAAAAGCAACACATAGACAGAAGGACCTCCCACACCTGGGGTTTGAGAATCAGGACCAACAGCTGCATAGTCAGGAACAGCACAGAAGTCAGAGCAGAGACCATTCCTCAGAGGATCTGCTGGCTCTGGTGTGAGCTGCACACTCTACGTGGTGTGCAAGAAGCTGTTCACAAAAGGTTTTATATGCAGCTGCCATTCACAGCCCTGTCTTCTTCCTCTTGGTGAAATTAAAGCCAGCCTATTGCAGGATATTTGATCACACTGTAAACTCTGAGACTGTTAGTGAAGTTAACCTTGAATCAGGGGAGAGAGTCTTTGAGTAGCTGATTGGAGTTAGCCATAGATATTTTGGAGGATCGGGAGCGGGGATACCATAGAGACACTGGAAAAAGTAGGGATGGGTTTTAAAGATTCATGTATCCTTTTGATCTGGGAAGCATGGAGAGAGATAGGGTCAGCTGGTTGTTCCTCTGCTGATTTCTTGTTCTATCAGGGTTTTACACCAATATCTGACTCCCGAGTTTTTATTGGTAATAGAACAATTTAGATACACAGTTTACCTGACATCTAACACAGGAGTAAATCCATCAGAAATTATTTATGGTACCTTTTATAATGCTGAAATTTGGTCATTATGGGAAGAAAATGAACATTGGCAAAGAGTTTGTAGCTATTTGAGGGGAGAAATTAGCAACAAATATCTCAAATCAAAGAAACTTCAGTTTATAAAAAGAGCTAATTGGACTCTTTATCACATTGTGTGATAAATACTAATTTCTGGAGCTCCTACATTCTATACTGATACAAATAAATGAGGAAAGCCAGGTTACAAGTCAGGAAAAGTAATTAAAGTGGCTCAAATCCCTTGTTATTCCAGTTAATAGTCAGAAATATATGCTATTTCTCAAGGTATTATTGGATTTTCTAGAACCTCTCAATACAGTGACTGATCTTAATATGCAGAAAGATTGTTTTATGTATCGAAACTGCTAATCTTGTTTCAGATAGTTCAGAATTAGCTTTGTTATTTATGCAACTACACCAAGTGATCAGAAATAGAAACCATTCCTTGTATATAACACGTATCAGATCCCACACAGGTCTACCAGGCCCTCTAGTAAAAGCTAATGATGAAACTGATCAGTTATTGATAGGAAATGTGCTCAAAGCCTCAGAACTTCATAAGAAACACCATGTTAACAGCAAAGGTTTGAAGAAAGTTTTTTTTCTACTACCTGGAAACAAGCCAAAGAAATTATAGGGAAATAAATGTTCTACCTATTCTTTGTATACTCACTTTGTATTACTGCCTGCAAGAAGTAATCTAAAAGGTACTCAACGATATGGAATTTGGCAAATGGACATTTTAATTTTTCAGAGTTTGGAAAAATAAATATATGCACAATACCTTAGATGCATATTCAAGATTTCAATGGGCGACTGTTTGAATTCTGAAAAGGCTGATTCTGTAGTCACACATTTGTTACAAGCTATGGCCATCATGGAGATAGCTATACAAATTAAGAATGACAATATTTTAGCATATTTCTCTAGGAAAAAAGAAACCTTTTTGCATATTACAACATAAAGCATATTACAGATATACCACACAATCCTCCATGGCAAGCAATTATAGAAAGATCTAATTGCAATGTAAAAGATATGCTTAATAAACATTAAGGGGTAATAGAGGCCCCAGAGATAGATTGCACAACGCTTTGTTATCTCTGAATTTTTAAATGCTACTGAAAAAGGAATGAGAGTAATGGAAAGACATTGGGTCGTAGAAAAAAAAAACTTCTGATTTAAATCAGTCTGTACTCTTTAAAGATGTATTGACCTCAGAATGGGAACCAGGATATGTGTTATGCTGTACAAAAGGTTTTGTTTTTGTTTCTACAGGAGAAGAAAAGACACAGATACCATGAAGATTGATAGATATTAGATTTGAACAAGTGAGACCTCTTGATTAGAAGAAGGCAGGGTTTTGTTTTTATCTTTCCAGTAGAATAAAATCATCCAACTAAGGAAACTAATGATCACTGGGCAAATGAGACATCCAAAGAATCATGAATCATCAAGAGAAAATGTCCCAAGAAAAAGAGTAAATTGTCCTAATGGTGTAGCACACCTGCAAAAGGATTGAATTTCATAAATCTTCCCAAGTGCTTGTTTTTGCTGCTCTGTACAAACATAAAGGACAAATGGTCTTTTTGTGGTCCAACTCAATTAAAAATTTAAGTTGAATTTGAAGTTTGAGTGTGGCTCTTTCCTTCTCTAAATTCAAGCATGTTTGTTAAAGAAAAATCCAAATTGTCTCAAAAAAACTGGAAGCCTGGAGTGTACTACACAAACTACAGGTAACTCAGTAGTTGGGAGAATGCTCCTCCCAGGTAGTTACACTGGTTCAAGTTGCTCATTCGCTCTCTACTTTGTTTCGGCAGCTCAACTTGTCTAATAGTGTCTCTTAGCACTTGTTACTGCGTAAAGCTGCTTAAGGGAGGAGAAGAATGGTGGATTTAGGCAGTCTGGGGTCTTCCTCTAACATTTCGGTTGCTTACTTTGTGAGCATAAGAAGTTTCCCTCGGGTTAGACTGTTTTCATTTAGGACATCCAGTTGTTTTACCTCCTCTCTAACATCGTATCTTAAATTATACTATTGTTTTAATTACCTTTTAACAATCTGTGTTTTAATGTGCTTACCTTTAGTATGGAAGGTTTACTTTTGAGCAAATTGCTATACAACAGGCAAGTTTGTTCTTCTAGGTTCCCAGTAGTCTTGTGACTCTCACTGGATCTTTTCAAGTCTAAGCACACCCGGAGCCTGCCCTCATGGGACCATCCTTCCCAACTGTCAGTTTAGCCAACCGTCAGTAATGCAGATTCAGTACCAGATATAAAGACAAAGATTGCAGGGACGCCCCAGTGACCACAAGTAATTTCATGAGGCAAATTGCTTAAAATTTATCTTTGACTACCTCATTTGTAATGGCCCTTCTTTTCTAAGTGTAACGTTCATAAAGAAATTATGTTCTTTTCTAGTCTAGATACTTAGACCTGCATGTATGCTGTTATCATCTTTAAGAGAAACCAACAGTTTAAGTCATTATAATGTAAGATTTTGACTGTAGAAATATTTTTCATAGATTTCATGATTCTTATTTAAAAATTCAAGACAATATATTAGAAGCAAAGTTGCTCATAATAACTGTTTCCAAATTTTATAGAAGAGTCTTTTATTTAGAAGTATACTTCTGATGCTGACCGCCTACGAAGCAGCCGTGGTTGGGGCCTTCTTGTCTGGGTGTGCAGGTGTGTTCTCAGCAGGGCTCCCCCAGAGGGGCTGTGTTTAAGGAGCTCCTGTATTTGGTAAGTCTGTGCTGTCACGTCAAACACTGTGAGCCGGTTCCCCTAGAGCACAGAAATAGCTCACTGAATCTTCCACCTGTGAGGCTGAGATGATGAGGCTGAAGAGCCTGGCTGTCTTCTGGAAGACAACAGTGTAGCGGCCGCTGCTTTCATTGTGATGAGAAGATGAAACTTGACGAATAAGGAAGATCATTTCACCACTAGGAGTTTGTTTGTACCAATAAAGCTGGTAAAAACTCTTACTTGTCTCATAGGAACAGTCCAAAGTGACCTGTTCCCCTTCCTGCTTGTTTATAGCTTGTTGTACTTGAGTTGCTTTTTGGGCTATAGATGACCCTGTGGAAACATTAGAGAACAGAGGTGAAGCCATAATGTTTAGAATAAAACATTGAAGGAACTAGATTAACTTACACCCCAAAGACACATTCTGCTTGCTTTCAAATCCAGTCCCTGTTCCCCCTCAGGTTTGTGTAAAGCACCATATGCCAGGATCTGTGCTTCCTGCTTAGTATCATTAGCTGTTTGTGAAACATCCGTACCAGAGAAGGCCAAGACCACCAACACACAAAGCAGGTTTTTGGGAAGCAAATGACACATGCCCCTCTGTATGAGTGTGTCTGCTCTGCTCAGCTCAGCTCAGCATTCAGTGACCGAGTATCTAGCAGTGTGCATATGTACTGCCTGCACTCTTACACTGCACCCAACCAGGAAATGGGGGTTGTGTAGTCATAAGCCTCAAGTCTCATGAACAGAGAGAAAAATCGTGGCTTGCCACAGACATTTACTTGCCTCTTTGTCTTCCTTTATAATTAAAAGAAACAGAACTTAAAGGGAGCATGAGAAAATCTATCTATCCCTGCTGAGCAGAGACACCGAACAGAAATACTTATTGTTAACATAAATATACTTTCCTCCATTCAGAATCTACTATAATTTTATTTTTTAAAAACCTCACAAGTGTTTGTATTTCTCTGTAAAAATATTGCTATTGAAAATGATTTTAGTACTTTTCCCTCCCTAACAGGATACTAGGGCCTATTTAAATTCTGTAACTAGCAAAGTTACTTCTAAATCTCAAGATTAAAGGCCACCCAACAGAATTCCAGAAGTCTTTAGTTTACTTATATTTTGTGAAGTTGTAACAGTAATGAATATTAGTTATCAGGAGTAGGAGAGATGTTTCAGTGTGTAAACTGCTTGCTGTATAACATGAGGTCCTATATTCGAATTTAGTCATTGTGGGGTGCATCTGTAAGCCAACACTGGGAAGCAGATATACAAAGGTTTGGGGACTCTCTGGTTTGTCAATCTAGTTGATCAGTGTGCTCTAGATCTAACCTGGGCTATTTGACTGCTTTTTAGGGACTCCCATCTTCTCCCAGCCCCTTTTCCTCCCTTTGAGACATGCCAAAATCCCAGTCCATTCCCTATGGACTCAAGTCAAAATTCGTGACTCAAAGGTGCTAATCCCTGTCACCTGCCTTATTGAGATCTTCTCGGTGCCTTATATAGCTTTGAGACCCAGGACTAGTTCACTCTGACAGAAAAAACTTGTCCCAAACTCTTAGGCTAAGCTGCTGGAGGCACACAGCAGAAGTACTTAGCATAATGCAGCTGATAAGCAGAAGATTTCTGTAACCCTCAACTATCAGACAAACTGAAGAAGTCAACAGCTCAACTCCACTCTGAATTAGCCACCCCATGAACAGTGTGAACACTTCTGCTGAAAGAGCAAAATGAAGAGAAAAATTCAGCCAACATACTGATTTCAGATGCACAAATACCAATGCATAAATAAAAACATGAAACCCCCAAATAACATGTTTCCTCCCAGACCACCAAATCCCTTAGTATTTACACTTAGCAAAAGTGACCTGAGAGAACTTCTAGACAATGAATCCAAAAACACTCAAAAGAGACAAAGAGATGAATAAAAGAAGGAAGTAAATTCAAGACATCAAAATAGAATTTGAATTGCTAAAAAAAATACACACTGAAAATGATGCTGGAAATGAGAAAACAAACAAACAAACTTCAATAAGTCACTTAAAACTTTCAATGGAAAGCCTCACCTACACACTGGATCATAAAAATAAAAAGTAGGGGATGGAAGACAAAGAAGAGAAATTGGATAACTCAATGAAAGTCAATAAAAAAGAACTAAAACTGAACATAAGTGTTTGGGGGCATGAGCTGTTCTCCTGATTCCTATCTGATTGAAGGTGAAATGTGACCAGTCCTGGCTTCCCCGCAGAGACACCCCAGAAATTCTCATCCACGCCTTCTTTTCTTCTTACCCTCAAAACACTGGGCCTTTATATGAGACAACAATCTGCTCAGACAAATGACATCAAAGCAGGCTTGTGAGGCTGAAGTCTGTGGTTGTGTCCTGGAGAGCCAGTGGCCCAGCAAAGACTGATTGTGATGACACAGAGCTGTGGGAATCCAGCAGAAGTCTGGGGAAGGAGAAGCATGAGAGTGGAGGAGCCTCTGTGACCAGAAGCTCAGTGATGTCGTTCATTGCCATGGGAGCATGTAAATGTTTGATGGAGTTCTGAAGTTGTTATAATTTTCAGGAAATTAAAAGCCCTCTGCAAATGATCTTTCATTGATGAAACTGTGAATATGTGAGCATTGTCCAAAATAAACATTTCATTCTTCAGACTGAAAAAAATGAAGAATCTCCTTGACTATAAGCTGAAAATACATCTGGTGAGGAAATTTATGGCAAATTAAGCTAAAATGGTGACAACTATGTTAGTCTAAATCTACATGACCTCACAGACTCTTTACTTCCTTCATAAAATTTCCAACCTCACATTCCTTACACAGCACAGACTCCTGATGTTGTGCCCAGAGCGTCTCAGTTCCCTCTTCTGCATCCCGGACTATGCCTCTGCTCTCATCCCCACTCCAGCCCTGACAGGGTATTCTATCTTACTCTTGTACATTTGTGTTCAATGTTGTCTACTCTTACCAGATAAAAGTATTTACACTTTCCAGTTTTTTATTCAAATTTTCAAACTTGAAAAGAATATAAAACTTCAAAATTCACACAATATGCATACTGATATTATCTGTCTCTTGCTGTTAAGAGCCAATTGAGGTTTTTCATTTTTTTTAAATTTTTGCATTTTGAAAATCTATACATTGTGGTGTCGAAGAGAGGCTATAGACTGTGTACTTTAAATTAAATGTCCTCCATATTCTTTTGCTTTGGTTTTATACGCAGTTTCACTACATTATCCAGGCTAGCATGCAACTCAAAAGCTCAAACAGTTCTCTTGCCTTAGACTCTTGGTAGGTGGGGATTACAGAGACTTCAACTATGAAGCAAGAGCATACACCTTAATTAATAAACACATTTTATTGAAATTTTATTGGCATTTTTGTGTCATCATGGAAGTACATCTTGTAAAGTGTTAGGCAATCGGAGTTCCCTCCATCATTCTGTGTACTGCTGGAGACAAAAGTCTGTAGCTGCTTCTATTAATCACAAAACTCTTAGACCTGTGAGATGGCTCAATGGTCAAAGGCATCTGTGGCTAAGCTTGATGACCCAAGTTCAATCTCTGGCACCCATAAGGTGTAAAGAGAGAGATGACTCCAGGAAATTGTCCTCTCTTCAGTCTCACGATGTGATACACACACACACACACACACACACACACACACACACTTGTCTTACACACACACACACAATCTTCTCTCTCTTTCACACTCCTCTCTCACATACACATTTCTTTCTCATACACACTCACACACAAGGACATGCAAAATACATAATTCCTAAAATATAGTTTAAGGCAAGCTTTAAAAATTGTCACATCACTCTCACATTTAAAAACACAGAAAATGGCATAAGAGACACCTCTACACCTAGCAATAATACTAAACAGATAATAAACTATGCTTTATCTTCTGAAGATCTCCCCCTCCCCTGAGTCAGGAAAGCAGATACACGGTAGTTACTTCTGTTCCTTCTTCTGTGTTTAAAGAAGAAACCAGGGTTGGGGAAACTTTCAGGCTCATCATTTTGAAATATTATATTTGTTGGAATATATTAGAAAAAAGCAATACTTTATTTCTACAATTTACCACAAATAGTTCCGTGAAGTATGTCTCATTCTCATGCACGCCTTTTCCATTCAACAGGGACTGAGGATGTTGCTCCACCCACTGGTGGTCATCTCTCTCTGTTGTCTGCTCGCTCCTGTGAGAGAAAGAATAAATATCATTAGCGTCTAGAGTGCTTGCTTCCTGCTTAAAGTTTTCCTGCCTATGATTTGGTCTGGTGTCCCTATTGTTTCATTCCTTCAAAGTAATCAAATACGATGGGGATTGTCCTCCACAACTCACAGGCTAGGTAAAGGCTTAGGGCTAACAGTGCTGATGCTGGGCTCTCACCTAGTCCTCCCAGAGCTCAAGCTCAGAAGAACTGGGGCAGTTTCCTTCCCACAGGTGGAACTCCTACTCTCACTTCACACTCCAGCTCTGTCAGCAGGCTCCACTCCTTCTTGAGTATTTTTGATTGGTGATTTTTTTGAACATAATAATAGCTGCCCCGTTTAAGAAATCCTCTCCCTTTGAAGGAATCATTACACACGTTGGGTGGATATGCATGTTAATAGGCACACAAGAGTGACAATATGAGGTTCATCAAGGGATAAATGATTACATGCACACAAGCATATACATGAACAAATAATAAGTAAAACTCGTGGGCACTTATCTAAAGAAGCTGAGGTCACTATATAAAAGAGATACTGAATATGTATATATAGTACAGCACCATTCATGGATGCTAAGATGTAGTATCTCCTTGGTACAACCTGTCAATTGATAGGGAAAATACTGTAGATGAAACAACATAGGAATGCTCATCATAAAGAGGAATTAAATCATGACATTTATAGGGAAATGGATGGAATTAAAGATTAAGATGTTAAGCAAAATAAATCAGATATCTACCATGTGTGAAAAAGAAAAAAGAAATAAAAGTGATCAGGAAATAGAACTGAGGCAATTAGGGAAGGAGAGTCAGGCCAGGAGAGAGAGGAGAAGACAGCAGAAGGAGAAGGCAGGTTGGCTTTGAGGATATAACCATAAATGCAAGCATTGAAATGTCATGGCAAAATCTGCTAATTTGTACATTTGATGTGTGCTGATAATTATTATGAGTATATGATTATATAAAAGTCAATTTAAATTTTTCCTCTGCTCATCTCATTCTATTCTTTCCCTATTGTTGGAAAGTGAACAGAGTTCCGTGAAGAGAATACTGAGCGCTTCTGAAAACTCCAGGAAAACAATACAAGAGTATTGTGACCATAGTTTCTTCAAAAATTTGGAATTATTTTTGGAATATGCTTTTGTGCCTCTGCCAGGTGTAGTGGATAGTAGTGAGCTTACTTCAGACTATTCATTACAACTGGCTAATGTTATTCATTTATATGTGTCTATGTAAAAACATGGTTTTGCCACATGGAACTTGCCCTTGTGATTATGTACAGCTTGAACTCCTCGTGAGAGTTTCACTCATGCGACCTTCTTAATCCTGACTTAACTTAGCCTAGCCTAACTTAGCAGAGTACACATTTCTGACGCTTGGAGTAGTGTTGGTTATTGTATGAGGCTTTAGTCTACCTCATTT